TACAAAATGGTCAATGACAACTACAGTTGTTTTCTGGAAAGTTTAGAGGAATCCCATGAGATGTATTTCTTTGTCATTCAGTTCTCAAAATGGTGATCTATGTTACAGGAATGCCTCGCTGTTTTTAAAAGGTCAGCCTTTTTTAAAGTGTGTGCATTCCATTTGAAAAGAAACTGGCCTCATAAAATTGCAGTGGCTGGGTTTGCTCTTTATAAAGCATTTCCCCTTAAAAAAAAAAATCATACAGATCCTTGGGAAAGTTGTAAATGCTTCGGCCATTCCTGAGGGAAAATTGGAATAAACTTTCCAATTTTTTTGGATGAGTAATGCATCTTTGAGGTAAAAGCTATGGCGGTAAATGGTAAAGACTCCTTTGGACTGAATTTGAGAACATCCATGCAGTTTTCCTGGCAAAAGTACAGAAGTGGCTTTCCATTCCCTTAGTCCTTATTCTTTTTAAACTTTCTGTGTAGCTCACAGCCCTGGAACTTCCTGGTGGTCTCTCATCCAAGACATCATCTAATCAGGTTGATGTTGTTCAGCTTCCACACACAGAAAGCGTCAATCTTTTTTTTTTTTTTTTAATGCCTTTCAGTCAGTTTTTGACTCCTGGCAACTGCCTGGACTAGTCGATGCAGTTTTCTTGGCAAAGTTTTTCAGAAGTGGTTTGCCCTTGCCTTCTTCCTAGGGCTGGGAGAGAGTGACTGGCCCAGGGTCACCCAGCTGGCTTCATGCCTAAGGTGGGATTAGAACTCACGGGCTCCCGGGTTCTAGCCCGGTGCCTTAACCACTACCCCAAACTGGCTCTCCAAGTATTATCATCTGCTGAAATTGGTTAAGCCTTAGTTACCTTTTCATCAGATGAACACTTTATAATGGATCGAGTTGGGTTGATTGAGAGCACATCCTGGCAGCAGCCCTTAACTGGTTTTCTTTTGTCAGAAGGCAGCACAAAAGGATGCCAGAATAAAATGGAACTCCTGTATTTCTGAATGCTCTTGTGTCTTGGCAAGAAGGGCAGAGTATGGTTCTGTCTGCAGCAGAAGTGAAGGGTAGAAATGCTTTCTCTGGGGCCATCCTGCATATGACACCTAAGTTCTGTATCTTCTATCTTGTTTTTAAAATGTCAGCTGCCCAGAATCATTGGAGTTGGGCAGCCTCTAAACTTGATAAGTAATCAATTCCCCTTTCTTCTCTCTCCCCAGTTCTCTTGCCAAAAATGAAAAATTGGAATAAAAAGACCTACTTCACCCTCCCTAATTTACTATGGGGGGTTACAGCTGAAGTGCTGCTTCCCTGACTTTTCTTGCCTCAGGGGGAGGGAAGTGGGGAAGAGACATCTCTTTAGCTGCCCACCCCCAATTAGATTGCAGCAGGTGATTGGCAGAGGAGGGTTTTGACCTGCATCCTGATGTCAGCCTTGTGAGGTAGTCCAGACAGGAAGCACATCCAGATGAACTAAATCTACTCTATTGTAAGGTTACATTAACAGTATCCTGGAAGTACATTTCTCCCCCATCCCCTTTACGGCCCAAGAAACTAGGGAGGGTCCCTTCTGAGACGTTTGCCAAGCCCACATTCCTGTTGTGGGCTAAACTGCCTTTTATCAGACAATTCCCCTGGCTGTGGCTCTTCCTGCTGTCTCCCAGGGTCATTCCCAAATATCATTACGCCTGCAGTCTTCAGAAAGACTGCTGGTCACATGTCATAAACACAGCCATCTGTCTTCCAGAAGACCATTGGGCATGTGTTAAAAAATGCGCCCTCCTACCCTCATGGATCAAGCACTAGTATGCCTGCTCTGCTGGGCCTACTAGTGGGCAACTGTCCTATAGGGAACTGTTTCCATCACTTTTCTTCTCACAACAGTGATCCCACAGATCAGAGAACTAACGGCTAAAGAGCCCAGCATCACTTCTCTTGCCATTCCTATAAGCCACAGCTTGGGACCTGGGGCTATGTCTGGCGGGAGAAGTGGGAGAGATGGCTCTTTGGCAGAGAGGGGGAGCCTGACTGTCTTGCAGAAGAAGAAGAAGAAGAAGAAGAAGAAGAAGAAGAAGAAGAAGAAGAAGAAGAAGA